ATATTCACGATACAAAAACAAATATTTGTCATGTTGCTCAAAAAACATCGCGACGTTATATCCCAAGATGAGAACGCTTGAATTGTTCCGAATGTGCAGCAGTCCATTATAATTTGCTCTGCGTTGATGGAACCCTTTCCCTTACAAGTATCCCTGTCGCCATAACTCATGTTCTGATAATAACAGTATACACAAGTTTATGACCAGCTTGAATACCCCGAAGTGTTAAATTCTTCTCATTTTAAATATATGTCTAAATCATATATGCAAAGTGTGGTATTATTAAAAGTGTCAAGGGAACTATTTCAGAGACTGTGATGACAAGGCGTGACGGGACAGGATTAGAATTGAAAGATAGCAGGCCGGTTTAAACCATAACATCATAATATGATCTGGGACCATAAAAGTGTTTTATTGATATACGTATGTGACACGCCGTGCAAGGTGACGTAGTAATCTGATGAAAGTATAATACAAAATGTAGTCCTTGCGTTAATGGCTGAAGTTATGAAATGTGTGAAAACATAAAACATGGGTGTATTTTGAAGTTCCCGATTACGATCTGAACGGGAAACAATGTCTCACCCCAGGTTGAGGAACGATACAGTAGCTTAACTGTCCAAAACCATTATGACTCTTCAATTATCAGCTGTGGAATTAAAATGCTCCTAAACGTTATCTGGTGTAAAAATCTACGAACGTCGAACAATGAATGCATAGGTTCATGAACATCGGGCTCACATCGGTAGCCATTACATACGAAATCGGTTTAATTGCTGAAAGGTAGGCTTAACCAATCTCCGCGGCCGATAAAGAATACGAACTTCAGAACACATTCAATACAATTAGGGATTATTTCGTGAAAATACTCTCGAGAGAAGTGCCTCTACACGCGCACACACTCTTCTTTCAGAAGTACTTATATATCGTTTTAACTAACCCACAATACCTCATTTTTGTATTTCCATGTGTTTCATAAGAAGGAACTGTTCTAAAGAAAGATGTAGGCTTTTAGCTGTCAACGTGTCTGTTCCGTTGACGGGATACCTATTGAAAAGATGGTGACTGCAACTTGTGAATATTTGAACTAAAACTGGCCCGTGAGCTGTATCAGTTAACGTCATCCCGTAAACATAACTTTTGATATTTAATTTTGCTTACACCCTTTTAAGTTTTTATGAGAAGAAATTTGATATGTGAAAGTCGAACCCGTATTTGTTCAATTGATTGAAACGGATATACTTCCTTCGATAATAATACACTTTTAAGATCACTTGAGGTCACTCGAGGTCACTCAAGGTCACTCTAATGCCGTGGATGGCACAGAGACAATTGTGATACGTGTATATGAAGGGACAGCACGGATACTGTGTTAGCCAAGCACTGGCAATGGTGTACACGCTATATCGAAACATCTGACAAGATCTGACAACGATGTTGATGACGCAGAATTTAGAAGAAAACCTTGTAAGATGCACTCAACTTCCACTGGGTGACGTTACCAAGGTTACCCTTCCATGCATTGAAGATTATTTGAGTCACTTTGATCATAACGAAGTAGCGATCTAGTACCATGAAGATATTTCTTATACATTTAAATTTATGGTCATTTTTGCGCCTTACGAATTGTACATTTCTGGTTGTAAACGTTTATTGATACCTTTGGGTAGCTATTATTTGGCTACAGCTTCTATTTTGGTTCAGATTGCTACACGTACTTTTCTTTTTGTAGAAAATTCCGATTAGTCCATGGTACATTTTGTTGGTCTTGCTGGCTGGTGCAGGTTGCTTCCTCTGACGTCCGTACTTTAGCGGGTTCTGCACGATTGCCAGGCAAATCTAGTCCGTTCCGGGTCGTACTGTCACTGGATAGTCAGGTCGAAACTTAGTTTCACTAGTAAGTAATGTTGATCTGCTACAGACCTACTTCAAGTCGTATTACTGATCTAAATTCATTGGCTATATTATGTCATACCCCTCATGTATAGCGCCGATATCCAGTACAACTGCTCAAAGGCGCTTTGTTTTCCCTCGTCCATTGGATGGACGTCACAACGGCACATTGTATTTTCAATCTCAACTCCCTGGGGATCATACTACTCTTGCTGCCTACTAGGCGCACCGAGTTAATGTGGCTTTCCCATCCTTACGAGGTACCCATTCACAGCTGGGTGGACTGGGACACATAGTCACAGTACTTTGTCCAAGTTTACTGCACGTTGCTGTACCCGCAATTAGGTTTTTGCACGTATTCATTGGGCCACCATCTGGTCATCTACCAACGGAATCGTGGGTTCTTTTAATTGCACAGGGTTGTGTACTGTACACTAGGGGTTGTGACAACACTGAAAGAGTCTGCACACAAAGTTGACTCCAAGGTTTTACACCCGGTCACAGGTGGGCTCGATCCCGGCACCTCCAAGCTCGCTGGATTACTAGCCTGGCGCCTTAGACAGCTCGCCCACCGCGCCCCCATGTATGTATGTATGTATGTATGTGTGTGTGTGTGTGTGTGCGTGCGTGCGTGCGTGCGTGCGTGCGTGCGTGCGTGTGTGTGTGTGTGTGTGTGTGTGTGTGTGACATATTCTAAAGAACAGACGGATGTCTCATATTCTGTGTGCTCGACGGAGTAGCGCACTCATGCGATCAAATCTAAGATACAAGCCCAGTATGATCACCAGTTTCATACAACTATATCTATATCCGTGGTGTTAAACAAACTGGCAAACATAGAAGGCAACATTTACCCCCTTCCTTTCAAGGAAAGTAATTTGATATGCCCTGGTAAAACCCGGGTAAATATTGTTCAAAGTGCCCCAAAACCTAACCCACTCTCTCACTCAGACCTTTGCCCTTACTCATTTCTATATGTTCATAACCGGTATTCTAGGTCACTAAAGTGACTCATCACTCGTTATTTTTTAAAGGAAAACAACCTTTTTGTTACTGTAGAGAGTAGGTAAACATTGTCGTCTATGTTGTTGTCAAGCTGACTCACATCTGAGGAATCCGCTTGAGAGACTGTCCTTGTGTTGTTTTCTCAGTGATGCGTCATCTCAGGACACTTAACTATTTACTGGTCAGATGATCATATGATATCAGCACCATAGTAATGTACATTGTCACAGATGATCCTAATGTCACAGCTATCGGGTGTGTGTATGTCTGTGCTATCCCCAGCTTATGTCAGTTTTATAGTGCTAGGACTTTCCCACTCAGACACAGTCAGAGTTCTGACTCCGAGCCGATATGGTTCGATTTTCCCATAACGAACGTGTTTTCTTTGGTATAACCCGAGGGGATCGAACCACCGACTGTCCAATTTTCGGGCAGACGCGCCGTCTACTAGACCACATAAGCGGTCTCGTAGATATGCCGGCCATACGCCTGCATTATCAATGCAGTGATGTAAGAACTGTACATACGCCTGCAAGCTTTGATAACAGTGAAATGCATATTACGTCACATTTGTGCATAACGTCATAGCAGTGTTCAACGTCACACATGAGTATAACGTCACGCCTGCATTATCAATGCAGTGATGTTAGAACTGTACATACGCCTGCAAGCTTTGATAACAGCCAAATGCATATTACGTCACACATGTGCATAACGTCATAGCAGTGTTCAACGTCACACATGAGTATAACGTCACGTCACAATGCACAACGCCGTCAATTTTGCATTAACTTCCAGCTCTGCATAACAACATGTGTGTGAAATGCATAACACTATCAGAAGAATGTGCTGTACAGGACACGGGCGCTGTGGTAGGAAACACAGCAAGTTACATCTAAATAGTACAGGTGTCATACAGGTAGTTCAATACCTGCAGATGTTTAGGTGAGATGGAAGTGATGTTACAGACATCAAAAAGGTAAAAGGGAAATACCAAAGAAACATATTAGAGAATCTGGAGCCGAAATGTTTGCAGACGTTATGGAGAAATTTGGAAACATTATAGTTACCTATTAGTTGAGTTTGAACTATAGGTGAGTGAGTGGAGTTAGTGAGTTTAGTTTTACGCCGCACTCAGCAATATTCCAGCTCTATGGCGGCGGTCTGAAATAATCAGTCTTGACCAGACAATCCAGTGATCAGCAGCATGAGCATCGATCTACGCAATTGGGAACCGATGACATGTGTCAACCAAGTCAGCGAGCCTGACCACCCGATCCCGTTAGTCGCCTCTTACTGAAGACCAATATTCTAACCCGCACCTTCACTATAGGTTTAATAGGTGGGTGTGACTAGTCGATACTATTACCTCGACAAACGAAATGACAAACGCTTGTTCTGTCAGATTGACGATTGATGAACACTCATCTCAAACAAACATGGCTGATATTGTAGTTACAGAAAGAGTGACTACGTGTATGTTTGTATTGTCAGACTCTGTATATAACATAAACATTGATGTTTCAGCGACAATCACGTGTGTAAAGCTCTGTCAGTGTAAGATTGTCTTTCTGGCAGTCCCGGAACCATATTTCCCTACCACCCACCCCCTTCTGTGATGCTGAAGCATTAAACAGAGCAAGTCTAGATTATCCCCAGATCTCGCATTACACTGGGGCGCCTTTTCAATATAAATGGAGTTTCTATTAAAATTGCATCTCTCTCTCTCCACCTCCTTAGCGGTGGTGAAGCCTTGTGGTTAAAGTGTTCGCTCACGACGAAGATCCGGGTTCGATTCCCCACATGGGTACAATGTGTGAAACCCATTTCTGGTGTCCCCCGCCGATATTGCAGGAATATAGATAAAAGCGGCGTAAAACCAAACTCAACTCACTCACTCCTTAGCATTCAGCAAAAAAAAGCTTGGCTTATATTTTCTAGGTTAAGAATATACTCATGCCAATAATGGTTGTCACCCCCTTCAATTTTTTTAATTGGAGAGGGTGGGTTGAGGTGAGGTGTGTAGGGTTGGGGTGGGGAGGGGGATGACAACCATTATTGGCATGAGTATATAACTTTAAAGAAAAAATGATGCTACGACGCTCCATTAAATGGTAGTTTATTCTCTTCAAATGTCAAGATTTGCTATAATAAATAGTAACACATTAATGCATTAACAATGCTATTGGGAATACATGGAAAAAGAAAAGAAAAAGATACAAGAAAAAGTAGATCTGTTGACTCCAGACTCTGTTCATATGACTTCAGCTACAACCGTGAAGCCACTCGTCAGGTAAATGTAATAAAAAACATCAAATTTATATCACTCTGGAATACTTAAATCTTCATACTAAATGCTTCACTTGTTCAATATGTATCTGCTACATTGCTTTAATTTGACTTTTTCAAGTTACGTTGTAAATACCTTCACTGATATTGTTCCATTGTGCGATCAGAAAACGGCTGACTGGGCTAGATCGCTAACTTTCTGTTCCAGCGAATTAATGCCTCGCTCTTAGTGTGGGATCGAGTCCCGGATAGGACCAAACCCCTGAAGGTACTAGAATGTTTACTTTACAACGAAAGGATAATCACAGATATAACATATGTTACACGGGATCACAAACCTGGGACTAGACCTAAGGTTATAACATCTATATCTCCTGCATGATGTTTGTGGTACCTTAATGTAACCTGCTTTTGTCGACTTTTGACATATAAATAGTGCTCGTAACAATAATTACTATTTACATGTATATTAGATATGTCAGAGATATTCATAATGCCCTTATACTGCTGACCGGTCAGCACTTGTATGAAGAAAATAATTCTGTTAATAATAACCAACTGACATAATAAGAGTTCAACATGGAGTTGTAAATGTACACTCATTAGAACGCCGGATGATTCCCTGTCAGGTCGCGTTCCACGCCGATCCTGTTGCTTTACCAGCGCACTCACGATCAGTCTGTTTTGTTTCTGTGCGTATCGGGGAGCATCGATCGGTCCTTTTCCTTAGCCCCGACACTGACGGTCACTCTCGTGTACCACTGTGCTTAAGGTCCCTCTTCGTTGGTTGATGTCGGTCACGTGATCAGTTCACTACGGTTTCGTCTCTGCAAAACGACGTAATTCACTCATTACACATACATCAGAGAGAAAGCGAATACAACACTACGCAACCTTGAATACAGATGACGCCAATAATGAGGCCCTTTACCCCGTGTTGGTAAACGGGATTGGGGGTTAGGTAGTTCAGAGGGTTGTGATGCTTGCATACAAATATGCAAATTCCAATAAAAAAAATTAAAAAATAATTGTGAACGTAAATCTATATAAACTGACTTACAAAAGAAAGTACACACCTGCTGCTTTGGTAAAATGTTTTCCTAAAAACAGCGGAATATTTAGAAAAGTGTTTTGATTGCGACTCACAAGTCACAAACATCGTGTATGTGTTGTAATAACACCATACATATCGTACCCAATTGGAACATTGATAGCAAAATATTCACGTTGTTTTCATAGTCTCAAAACACCAGGTGTGTACTTTCTTTTGTACATCAGTATAGATATTTTTTGGTTCGATATTTTTCAAGTGACTAAAATTTGAATTGCACCTTTCTCCGTATAGTTGCTGTAGTATTCAGATATAGGGTAGAGCAACTAGACTTTGAGTGAAGGACCTACGGGGACGGGGTAACTGACTGACTAACTAACCCATTTCTATTCTGGAAACCAGGGGTAAAATTTATGTAACTTTACTTTTGTAAAACATGAGGAAACATTCTCCAATGCTTTCTGAAATAATTCCTTTTTATAAGAATTACGATTATGAGTTCAGCATATTTTACTGATTTGAATCGAATCCCGGTCTCCGTCGTGAATAACTTTAACAACTAGGCTACCGAACGTTGTCAGCAAATGTGCCATGCAAATCGTAAAGGTACGTTCCTTTCATGTGGGTCAATGAAGCCTTGATGAGATCTTTTATCTCTCGTAATTGAAATGTGTATGACAAGACAATCAGTATTAACATGTCAGTCTACACGTACATCACCAATGTTTGATAATAGCGTGGTGAAGGCGATGTGTCAACCATTATACCCGAGACATGCTCCCCGGCTGACAACGTGACATGCTGTTATCTTCATCAGGCATTTCAATTTGAATGTACCTGGTGTCCCTCAGCGTCCCTTACTTCCCAGCCCAGCTTCAGGGGATGATTTAATCTATCACAGGCCCCATGCTAATTAAATATATGCAATTTATGTATAATTTTTCTCTATGCTTGTGTATTTCATATATGCATATACTTCACGTACAACGAAACAACGGGGAACGATGAAATATTTTTTGTAATTCTTGGTGAATCATGGTTCTTATACGTGGTATATTTGAACGTATATCGTGGTGCGCTCACGGTATAAATTTGTATGTGTTAATCATGGTACAATTACACGATATTTTTTAAACAGTCACTCATGGTAACTTTCCGTCGTTAATTTCCCTTTGTCAACTATGTAGTCCTTAAGTATTGCACGTCTATATGTCAGTCATGACATTATTCTGTGCTTTACTGCCACGTGATCATATTGCATGAGTGAGTGAATATGATTTTACGCCGCTGTCATCATGACTCCAGCAATATTACGACGGGGAACGATTACTATATGAGAGTCAAGTGAATATATGTCCAAATGTTATGTTTTTAATATATATGTTTTTACATTCAGTCATTAAATTGTAACGTGGCATATCCTAATAGTCTTTTACCCGTTTTCCATGATTGCCAGGAATCTATACTACATACATTTATGTAAACAATCGGCTTTCATATGGAACTACATTTTAAGCCATCATCGATATTTTCCAAGTCTGGTAATTCCTGAAATTCCCAGTAATCCTCAAAAACAAAATAAATGAAAAAAGCAGATGGGGACACGTCGTGTGACGTCATCGCTGTCATGTACGTGCTGGTGTGAGAGATGTGAGAGGAAGCATGTAGCAAGTGAGTACTGTGTAGCTCCGCCCCCATAGTGATATCACAGATACCGCAGGGAAACATACCGGCAGTGGAGGCTGGTGATACTGGCCGCATGATGGACAGCTGATGAACGTGCCACTGCAAGCAAACAAACAATACAGGTCTCAAATCGCGTGAACAAAATGTCAATAATTAACTACATCAACTTTCATTAAACATGAAATTAATCATTGTCTGTACCAGTTTGTTTGTTAGATTGTTGTTTAACCCCGCACTCAGCAATATTTCAGCTATATGGCGGCGGTCTGTAAATATTCGAGTCTGGGCCAGACAATCCAGTGATCGGCATCTGAAGCATCGATCTACGCAATTGGGAAACGATGACACGTGTCAACCAAGTTAGCGCGCTTCCCACCAATAGCTTCCTACGGCAAACATGGGTTGCTGAAGATCAATTCTAAACCGGCTCTTCATAGGTCGATTGTTCCAGACTCGATTCGTCATATACTGAAAGAGTGAGTGAGTGAGTATGGTTTTACGCCGCTTTTAGCAATATTCCAGCAATATCACGGTGGGGGACACCAGAAATGGGCTTCACACATTGCACCCATGTGGGGAATCGAACCCGGGTCTTCAGCATGTCGAGCGGACGCTTTAACCATTAGGCTACCCCACCGTCCCTATACTGAAAGAAATATAAATACGTCAACAATCCCATTGGTAATATACCGAAAAGTAAAATTACAGGTTGTTTTATGTAATTGTTCACGGCTAGTATCTACTGAAACTATATACTATTACACTTTCTCATTTATTTAAATTCTCCATACGCTGGTTTAACAAAATTCTGGTTAAAACCGTGTGGAAATTGATCTGGGTTTTCCTTATTGCTTGACCCTGTATATACGTGCTGTGAGGCAGACCTATGTGCCAGGTAGCCCCACACTGCATGTGAAGTACGTGCTGTCTGATTGATACATATGACAATGTGACAGAGGGTTATCTCGGTGGTGTGATCTCCTGCCGTCTGTACACTTCTTACAGATACTGCGGTGATATCTCCAAATTAGGATGTGATACTACCTGACCCTCAATGTGTAACGTGCTGTGTGTGCAATACTCAATACTGGACACTGGATTTATCAAACGTGCATACAGGGATTCGACAAAACGTTAGCTGAATGCGCATAATAAAATATGTCCTTTTGGTAATATTATTGTTTAGCAATAATTTTGTGTTTGCCTTACATTTGACACAAATGTTTAAGAAGTATACTGTTTCCAATAGGTCTTCAGCAAACCATGCTTGTCTTAAGAGGTGACTAACGGTATCGGATGGTCAGACTCACTGACTTAATTGATGTTATCGGAATATGCTCATCAAACCAATCAAAGGATTGCTTGAAACAGACTCGATAATTTACAATCTGCTCTTATAAGGTTCGAATAGTCCCGAGAGCAGCAGCAGCATCAAACATTTTAATAGTATGCTTAAAAAGATGGAAGTTTAGTGGTGATGGTGTGTATGTGCGTGCGTGCGTGCGTGCGTGCGTGCGTGCGTGCGTGCGTGCGTGCGTGTGTATGTTGTAATAACACAAAACACAAGAAAGGTTTGCAATGTTGCAAGGACGTTTCAGGATTGTTTCTTGCCCGCTCCCCAATCCGAGGATGGGACAAACAGTTACCCCTACTATTCTTTGCAGACAAAAGAATAAGTCGTTATAAATCAAATGTGTCTTGTTTTCATGTTATTGTTAGTACGATTCAAAGCGGATGGGCATTTTAACAGGCATGTTATAGGGGTATTCAGTTTGCACATTTGTGTTCCTCAAGATCCAGAGACCTTTACAGCGTTGCATATACTAATTGCGACACCAACTGTGATGGTAACTGTGATAAAAACTCCAATGGTGCCGTGGAAAAAGTATTTGCTTGAAAATTGAATTTGTTGTGAAAAAGCCGAAACACTTCAAACTTAAGGTCCAAAACACAACCCTGATATCCTCTAAATAGATTATATTAGAATTCAATAAGCCCTTGTTTGTTTCATTTCAAGGATCAACTAGAGATGCATACATTCTGTGCATGACAGTTTACATTCGTAACTGTACAGAACAGCATAGACCAGGGTTAAAATGAATGAACGAGACATAGTGAATGTCTCGGTACTCCAGATAGCAGATTGGATGACTGGCGTGATAGAAGATCCCTATCTAGATGCAAGAATGCGACAATACGCTTGGTATCCGCGATAGACGTGAGGACATCACATCTGTGTTACCGGCCTATCTACACACTGTTATGGACAGCGATGAATCATGCACCTGAAGATGACGTCTAGATTAGTTCAAGTATTGCACCATGAAGCTTATCAAAACGAGCAGTGTGATTCTAGAAGAGGTTCTGTCACTTATATTAAACGATAAACGTCCTGTCACCGAAACAAACAACTTGATTTTTGTTTAAAAGGATGTGAACATGAAATATCACATCAAAAGGATGTAAAATTCTTACCCTGATATTGGAATGCGCTCAAAGGACAGCAACCTGTACAGAATCCAGTGGTATAGCACGAATGACGTCATGTTGTTACGTCACGATGTGATGACGGCACAGCATTAGGAAGCAGAGTGTTCCAATGACATCACAGCTGAGCATGCATAAGAGGCAAGCAGGCGAACAGCGAACATAGTTTCAAGAAATAGCGAGAATTCAGAGAAAATACAAGTTGCGGATTTAAGGGATGAAAAGTCCATCCAGCCTATTGTCTGTGTACATAATACATACAACTGATGAGTTTTACTGATGATAAGAAGGAAACTTGTGTTCCGAGAAGATATACTTAATACACGATACTTTCATCACAGTCGCTTTCACGCCCTTTCATTCGCTGACGTCATGATGATGTCAAGGTTAGAGCTATGACGTCACGTCCATAAGTTCATCACGCATGCTCATAGTAGAATGGTTATAGAGTCCCTGTGCCATTAGATGCAAAGCTAATGGATTCTTCAAACCACTTGCTTTCTTGATCTTTGCCCGTTTGTTTTGGAACCAGATCTTGATTTGAGCTTCCGTGAGTGATAGAGACAGAGCTAGATCCTTTCTCCGTTGTTCTGTGAGATACCGGCAGTCATCAAACTCTTTCTTCAGACGTTGGAGTTGATCATTTGTGAACGCTGTCCTTGGCCGTTTGTCCTCCTGTTGCTGTTGTTCTTGGTGTCTTTCTCGCGCCTTCGCCTTCCTGGATCGAGGACCTTCGAAAAATAGAAATTCTCTGTCATCAAGCTATCAAGAGTGGATAGGGCTTTTTTTAAAGGAGGTGTTACAGCTTTTGAAAATCAGATAATTCATCTATTAACATGAATAAATCAGGATACAGTTTTTTGAAGCTAACATATATATAGTCAATTGTTCGTTATAATTGCTGTGAACGCATAAGTAAATTATTGCAATATCTTTTAAAACTATTTAGAGAATCTTTAGTAGTTGTGGCGGGTACCTGAAGCCCAGGACATGCTTACTCCTTTGACGAACACCTGGTGTCATCACGGATTTAGAGTGATCAATTCATATAATATTAGCTGCTATTTTGCTCTTTACGCCAATTGGAATTTGGTGCTGTTGATAATCAAGACTATACATTCTCTTACATAGACGTAATTTATCTATATTGCAAATATTGATATCTTGATGCAACTGTTTCGTTGATAAGCACACATCAGTAATTAAGGATAAATGTTATCCCTCTTTGATACGTTCTACTTTGCAAACGACGACTTTATATGTCAGTTAAATATGCTATGATAGCAAAAGACCAATTTAAAAACTGGGAAACATAACAGCTTGCAAAAGGTATATTTTACAGATACACGATGAAGATCTGCGTAAGTACTGAAACACTGCAAAAAGCATCACGGACACGTACTCATTAAATTTTCAAGTAAAATGAATCTGTTGTACATCCAAACTCTTGAACAAAGTTCATTTTCAAGCATATATGTCAACCATTGCATGTGACATTGTTCTGGGGCTCACTGTAGTTCTTTTAGCCAGACATGTTGAAAAATGAGTGGAGCTGTCATAAGAAATGTGATATCGCGGGGGTGTAGAAGCAGTCTAAATACGTTATTGTATGTTAGTTGGAACAATCCACGTTGTACACGGTGTCAGAAGATCTACCTGCTTAAAGTCTTAGTAGAATAGACTGAAGACTGTACGATAGCTCTCGCAGGGGGAGATAATGCCTAGATAATCAGCGATTTGGGTCTGAGTGTACATGATTCGTCCATCAGAGTGACCCGGATTTAACCCTGGCCAATTAGAACACCCTACCTAAGCCAGTCATTTTTCATGCGTTGTACTTTCTTGACAACTGATCTCCGATATTAACCTCACGTCAAGGCTGCAGTCAGACTAATTTTCTGAGTCAATTTTCCCATCCAGATTTGCAAGCCCGGCTACAGGGAGGGGTGCTAATCTAGCACCTCGTACCCAAATCAGGTGTCTCTACAGATTTGAGAGGCAAGTGGACAAATGGGGCTGGTTTACGACCGTCCCGCCAGTATTGACCGCTTTAATTACAGCCTATCGTCATCAATTTTGCTTCGGTTCAGGCCTCAACCGACGCCCCGTCTCGCACAGAAATAAGTTGGTGTGAAAGTAGTACTTCCTCCGATTGTCTTCAGCCCGACTTGCGACTTAATAATCGAGCAGCTTAACTAATTTGGTCATTAAAGCCAGGACGGGGGCTAATAGGCTAAGCAGTTGACTAATCTATTATTTCTGATTGCCTATAATATGACCGACTCTAATTACACCTACGTCAGGGCTGCTTTGCAGTTCCCATTAATCTTAGATACACGGTAGCACCACAAAACAAAGCGGCTTCCCAAAGTGACGGCGGACAAACGCTATGGTTTCCCTCAACTATGGCGGTGAACTTTGATTTATTCTACCCGCACCCACAAGACCGAAAACAATTTGTTAATCTCCTCTGAGGAAACATTAAGTTAACGGCACAGTAATAGTTCCCTTAAGACTTCGTTTAACAAGCCTTTATTAGAATATATTGACTCGGTCTGCTCTCTAAAACACACGCCTTATCGCAACGATTGGAGCAAAGTTCTAGTTTAGATTTAAATGGGCTATAATTAGCGACGATTAAAGTCAACAATCAAGTCAAGTACGAGCGGAAGATGCTCTGATTGCGTCTGTCTGTTTCCCACGTGCACAGAAACTGAAGAAGATATTTGCAATGAGAAGACGTGTACTGATACACATCTCCTGACACACACAGGTTTAAGCCTCTGAGCCTCGCTGATGACTGCAACTATAATTTACAGCATGTGAAAAACAGATTAACTTACTCAACTCATTCTATCAGATCCAAATGTATAAGTTCTACACTGTCAATGAATTTGTTTCCATTATTGAAAGTAGAGTAATATTGAACACAACAACAAAAATATGTTTTGTAAAAAGACCGTTCTGTTATTTGATTCCTAATTCATATAATCTTTTTTTCCCCAAGGACAGTCTGTGATGTTGAGAACACATTTTGAACGATGATGTATATTATGGACTTCGGTGGTATAATATTTGTACAAGCCTTTGAATGGCATTCAACTGAAGAAGGAGTCAGCATATATAACATATGTTATATTTGGGATTACACTTTCTTTTAAAGTACAGATTCTAGTACATTTGTTGGGTTGAGTCCCATCCGGGATTCGAACCCACACCCTCAGAGTCAGGCACCTAATCGCCAGCACACAAAGTCAGACGCCTAGACCGCTCAGCCACCGCGGCTTCCCCACCGCGGCTTCCACTAGTGGAGCGGCCTAGGCGTCTGACTTTGTCTGTAACATTTGACCACTTTCTAAATGGCATTGTGTATTTCAGAGTCAGCATATACCTGGAAATGATTTGTTCCTTATAATAAAGAAGTTGACGACCATACTTTCTGTCCCTAAATATTTGAATATCACACAATATATAAACATCGGCGTATACAGATGATATTATGGTTAAACAGTCAATATTCATTATGTAATAACTTTTCAAAGAATAATCAAGTTTTTCATTAGGATGAATAGATTATTATTATTATTGCCTACGCTACATTTCCACATTTTGCATCGGAGACAAACCTTGATTGTATTGGAAAAATAACGTCTTCTTTAGGAACGTTGAAATATTAGTGGAATCGATATACATCGTGAAGTGTTTAAAAATAGGAGCAGTTATAGAGCAACATGATATTGCGCCTCAGAAATATATTAACATGCTTATTATTTATGGATGTCCGTGTCAATATGTTACAAATTAATAAGATGAAAAGAGACATTGATGGATTGAATTAATAAAGAGAGTCAAGTAAGAAACTACACAAGCTTTAATTACAGGATACTTTATATAGTTTTTAATTACACCAGTATGAATAAAATCATTTCCATGGCAGTAAATGCCAATTAGATGTGCTGTACATTTGTCTGTGGAAGAGTCATATACAATGTAGTCCATCGTATCATAAATTCAGCATTGGCTCTACTCTAACGTTGAGATATTCATTGATAAAATCAATGGTGGATTTAATTAAAGTGGGTAATACAAATACCCAATAACGAGACACGTGCAAGTCACATGAGATGTAACACAGTCTGAATTAATTCCTCAGACTGTAGCGAGGCAATATGTATGTTGTATCGTCTCTAGTTCACGCTAATGCTATCAAGTGTACGACATGTGAGTAAAGTGAATAAAAATGGTGATAGTGTTATGAATTATACTCCATCAACAATATCCTTATGCCAAGCATGACCAACTGCTTGATATGGTGCCAGTAGGATCTTGGTTGTTGTTAGTAGTGCAGTCTTGTGGTCTTCATTAAATGGAAGTATGAATGAGTGAGTTGAAAGAATTCAGAATGAGTCTTCAATACATGGTAGTATTGAACATTATTAACGGATAGTTCAGTGTAAGGCATAGCCACTGAAGTATCATTGAATCGGGATGGTATAGTATTGAACATTATTAACGGATAGTGTAGGGTAAGGCATAGCCCTGAAGTATCATTGAATCAGCATGGTAGTATTGAACATTATTAACGGATAGTGTAGAGTAAGGCATAGCCCTGAAGTATCATTGAATCAGCATGGTAGTATTGAACATTATTAACGGATAGTGTAGAGTAAGGCATAGCCCTGAAGTATCATTGAATCAGCATGGTAGTATTGAACATTATTAACGGATAGTTCAGTGTAAGGCATAGCCACTGAAGTATCATTGAATCGGGATGGTAGTATTGAACATTATTAACGGATAGTTTAGAGTAAGGCATAGCCACTGAAGTACCCTTGAATCAGCATGGTAGTATTGAACATTATTAACGGATAGTTTAGAGTAAGGCATAGCCACTGAAGTACCCTTGAATCGGGTATTGTCTTTACTATAGAGACGTTTACGAGAGATATCTACTCTGTCATATTATAGTATATTGTCAGTATTACAGGAATGCTGAGAGTGGTATAATCCCTCGTGCAGTATATTGTCAGTATTACAGGAATGCTGAGAGTGGTATAATCCCTCGTGCAGTATATTGTCAGTATTACAGGAATGCTGAGAGTGGTATAATCCCTCGTGCAGTATATTGTCAGTATTACAGGAATGCTGAGAGTGGTATAATCCCTCGTGCAGTATATTGTCAGTATTATAGGAATGTTGAGAGTGGTATAATCCCTCAGTGCAGTATTATTGCTGAGTCAGTATAATCCCTCGTGCAGTAATGCTGATAATCCCTCGTGCAGAGTCAGTATTTCAGGAATGCTGAGAGTGTATAATCCCTCGTGCAGTATATTGTCAGTATTACAGGAATGCTGAGAGTGGTATAATCCCTCGTGCAGTATATTGTCAGTATTACAGGAATGCTGAGAGTGGTATAATCCCTCGTGCAGTATATTGTCAGTATTACAGGAATGCTGAGAGTGTTATAATCCCTCGTGCAGTATGTTGTCAGTATAACAGGAACACTGAGAGTGATTTAATCCCTCGTGCAGTATATTGTCAGTATTACAGGAATGCTGAGAGTGGTATAATCCCTCGTGCAGTATATTGTCAGTATTACAGGAATGCTGAGAGTGGTATAATCCCTCGTGCAGTATATTGTCAGTGTTACAGGAATGCTGAGAGTGGTATAATCCCTCGTGCAGTATATTGTCAGTATTACAGGAATGCTGAGAGTGGTATAATCCCTCGT